GCGCCTCGCTCAGCCAGTGAGTGGGAACCGGTCTGTATGTGGGATCCGAACCCTCGGGCGGGAGCGCCGCCGCGCTTCCCAAGCGGCACACTATCCAGTGCGCCACCGGGCTGGCCCCGCTCATTCAGGTTCTTAAACAGAAGATGCTCTCATTCCTTGGCTAACCTTTGGGTCCTTGATACCTGGGACAAACTATTACAATTAAAGGAAATGTTTTATTTGAAGAGTAAAGATGATATAAATAATATCTTCTCAAAGAAAAAACTTTACTTTTACTTGTTATTCTAATGCTTTCTACATAGAAATTCTATAAATAATGACAGAATAATTTCTCACATTGTATGCTGCCTCCAGCAGCCATCTCTCCCATTTGCCTTGATGTGTACTCCCCCATGCCTTGATGTGTACTCCCCCATGCCTTGATGTGTACTCCCCCACCAAGGTAGAGGTCCCAGCAGGCACTTGTGGTGTGGGAAATAATCATCCATCAGCACATGTCCAGAACTTAAAGATTGAAATGCCTATCTACAAAAGGAATGATTTGTTACACATGTAAATGAGAGGGGTTATCCTTTGTATACAGTGAAAGTGGTGATTAACAAACAGGAAAGACTGTCATTTAAGTAAAAAGTACAGTCCCCCCTCCCGCCAGCTAGCTGCCAAAAAAAAGATACAGTTCCTGACCTCAAAAAGCTTATTGTCTAGTTAGGGAGACAGACCCTTAAATAAATAATTATTGCATAAAATGTTGATATCAACAGTGATAAAAACATATCCTATTATTTGGAGGAGAAACTGAGTCGGGGAGGTCAGTAGAGGCTCTCTGCAGTGCTGCTGCCTGAAATAGTTTGTGTCAAAGTTAAGTAGCCAGTGTCTGCTGGAGGAGAGACTGAAAACACTTGAATGAATTTACTCTGAATTCCATGTTTTCCATTCACAGCCTTACTGCTTTTGTCTTGTCTACCGGGCCCCGAATGGGTCAGCTTCCCTACTGAATGGTGAGCTCTCTTGAGAGCAGAGTTGGTGCCACATAACTGATACTTGAGTGATAGGTTTTATTCTCTGCTTTGCATTTAATATATGATACTAGTGATTTTATCAGACAAGGAGAGGTTCTTTATAGGAAATTTAGAAAGTAAAAATAAATAAAAGTGAGAAAGAAAGTAATTGAGCGATATCTCATTGCTAGAATGTATCCCTTTATTGTTTTTTCCATGCTTTATTTTGAGTTCAGACCTCTTGCCCAAAATTTGGTTCAGGTGTCGACTGATGATAATACATATACACTAAAAGCATATAAAAAGGTTTATTTCTCACACAGTGAGGTATTTTGGGGAGAGCAGGGCAGATCAAAAAGTGACTTGAGGGGCCGGCCCGTGGCTCACTCGGGAGAGTGCGGTGCTGATAACACGAAGGCCCCGGGTTCGGATCCCATATAGGGATGGCCAGTTCGCTCACTGGCTGAGCGTGGTGCTGACAACACCAAGTCAAGGGTTAAGATCCCCTTACTGGTCATCTTTTAAAAAAAAAAAAAAAGTGACTTGAGACTGCAGGGAGAGGTAACTGGTCTTGGGATTTTATGGTAGTTAGGAGGTGGGGCTGGGTGAGGGTACTCTTACGCATGGGCTGGCATTTGTGTTTGAACTTTCCCATCAACACCAAATGAGGGAGGACCAAGGCTTTTGTATCAGCTTGCTCAGATGTGGAGGAGAAGAAGCTTGAAAGCTGTCAACAATCAAATATCAAAAATGAAGTTGACTCTTTATTACATTTACATATATATATTTTTTACATTGGGTCATACACTGTTGTATGATCTAATTTTTAGAATTTAAGTATGCTGCCATGGAATTCAATATTATTCTATGTCATCATTTTTAATGACTGCATAATATGAATATAAACATGTATGAGGGTACTTCAAAATGGCTTTGGAAAAATAAAATTAAAAGATAATCCAAAACCAAAAAAAACAAAGCAAAAGGTAATTCAAATCTTTCCATGAACTTTTTGAAGTACCATATCATATTTGACTTATCCCCTATCGTTAGCAAATTAAATTATTTGTAATTTTTGCTGCTATAAATATTACCTGGTGAGCATCCCTGCAGTTAAATCTTTTCCAGTGTCTTTGTTTATCTCTTTTAGAATGACTAGAAATGGAATTGTTGTGGCAAAGGGTGTCTTTAAAACGTCTGCTATATGTTATTATCTTGCAGAAACTGAAATGCTTATGTTTGCCTCAGTGGTGTTGAGAGGGCCTTTTTCTCCAAATGCTTGTCAGATCTGAACATTTTTCTTTAGCAATCATTACCAATCACTAAGTAGAAAATTCTATCATTTGCTTTCTTTCTTTTTTAAACTTTTTTGTAGTACATGTTTATGAGGTACAGTTTATTGTTTCAATACATGCATATATTGTATAATGATCTAATCAGAATAGTTAACATATCTATCACCTAAACACTTATTATTGATTTGTAGTTATAACATTTAAGATTCTCTTTTCTGGCTATCTTGAAATATGCAATACAATATTATTAGCTATTGTTACCCTAGAGCACCAGAACTTATTCTTTCTACCTAACTGTAACTTTGTACTGGTCTACGAACCTTCCCCCATCTCCCCCACCTTTCTTCCTTTCCCTGCCTCTGGTAACCATTATTCTACTTTCTGTTTCTCTCTTTTTAGTTTATTTTTCTTAATTGACCCATGATCATTGTATGTATTTATGGAGTACAATATGATATTTGGGTACATTCATACTGTGTGCAATGATCATGTCAGGGTACTTAGTATATCCATCACTTCAAACATTGGTCACTTCTTTGTGTTAGGAACATTCAACATCATCTTGACTAGCTATTCAAAGTACTTTGTCAACTGTAGTCTCCCTATGTTACTATAGAATCCTAGGTCCCATTCTTCCTATCCCTATAATATTTTGTATTCACTGACCACCCTCTCCTGATCCCCCCCCACTTCCCTTCCTCCCACCAGTATTAAGTAACCACTATTTTCCTCTCTACTTCTATGAGAACAACTTTTTTAGCTTTCACATATGAGTGAAAGTATGTGGTATTTCTCTCTCTGTTGCTGGCTTATTTCACTTAACATAATTTTCTCCACGCTCATCCATGTTGCTACAAATGGCAGAATTTCATTCTTTTTTATGGCTGAGTAGTATTCCGTTGTGTATACATACTACATTTTCTTTATCCAGTCATCCATGGAAGGACATTTAGGTTGGTTCCAACTCTTGGCTGTTGTGACTAGAGCTGCAATAAACATGGGAGTACAGGCATCCCTCCAATCTGTTGATTTCCCTGCCTTTGGATATATACCCAGTAGTGGAGTTGCTGGTTAATATAGTAGTTCTATCTGTAGTTATTTGAGAAATCTCCACACGTTTTCTGTGGTGGCTGTACTAATTTGCATTCCCATCAACAATGGATAAGAGTTCCCCTTTCTCCACATCCTTGGCAGCATTTGTTATTTTGTGTCATTTTAATAATAGTCTTTCTAACTGAGGTGAGATATTTCATTTGCATTTCTCTAAAGATTAGCAACATTGAGCATTTTTTCATGTGCCTGTTCGCCATTTGTATGTCTTCTTTTGGAAAATGTCTATTCAGTTCCTTTTCCCATTTTTTAATTGGATTATTTGATTTTTACTGTTGAGTTGTTTGAGTTCTTCGTATATTCTGGATATTAATCCCTTGTTGGATGCATAGTTTGTAAATGTTTTCTCCCATTCGGCAGGTTGTCTTTTTGCTCTGTTGATTGTTTCCTTTGCTGTGTGGAAGCTTTGTAGTTTGATGTAATCCCATTTGTTAATTTTTACCTTTGTTCCCTGTGCTTCTGAAGTAAGTTATTCATAAAGTCTTTGCCTAGACCTATGTCCTGAAGTGTTCCTCCTGTTTTCTTCTAGAGGTTTTATAGTTTTGGGTCTTACATTTAAGTGTTTAATCCATTTTGAAGGGCTGAGCCTGTGGCGCACTCGGGAGAGTGCAGTGCTGGGAGCGCAGCAGCGCTCCTGCCGCGGGTTGGGATCCTATATAGGGATGACCGGTGCGCTCACAGCGCTCACTGGCTGAGCGTGGTGCGGCCAGTCTCAAAAAATGAAAAAAAAAAAAAAAATCCATTTTGAGTTGACTTTTTTTTTTTTTTTTGTATGGTGAGAGATAGGGATCTAGTTTCATTCTTCTGCATACAGATCTTCAGTTTTCCCAGCACTGTCTTTATACCAATGTATGTTCTTGGCTCCTTTGTCAAAAATCAGTTGGCTGTAGGTACTTGTATTTACTACTGAATTCTATGTACTGTTTTGTTGGTCTGTGTGTCTGTTTTTGTGCTAGTACCATACTGTTTTGATTACTGTCACTCTGCCGTACATTTTGAAGGGACTGTGATATCCTCCCATTTCCCTTGTTCTTTTTGCTCAGGATTGCTTTGGCTATTCAGGGTCTCTTGTTCCATATAAATATTTGAACTGTTTTTTTCTGTTTCTGTGAAGTATGTCATTGGCAGTTTGATGGGAATTGCATTGAATCTGTAGATTGCTTTGGGTAGTATGGTCATTTTGATGTTATTGATTCTTCCAATCCATGAGCATGGGATGTCTTTTAATTTTTTTGTCTTCTTTAATTTCTTTAATCAGTGTTTTGTAGTGTTTTTTTGTTTTTTGGGTTGGTTTTTTTTTGTTTTTTTTTTTGGTGGGATCTGAATATAGTTTTCACTGTAGAGATCTTTTACCTCCTTGGTTAAATTTATTCTTAGTTATTTTTTGTCATTTTTGCTGTTGTAAATGGGATAGCTTTCTTGATTTCTTTCTCTGCTAAACATTTTTGGTGTGTAGAAATGCTGCTGATTTTTCTATGTTGATTTTTTTGTGTGTGTCCTTTTTGAGACTGGCCACACTGTGCTCAGCCAGTGAGCGCTGTGAGCGCACCGGTCATCCCTATATAGGATCCGAACCCATGGCGGGAGCGTTGCTGCGCTCCCAGTGCCGCACTCTCCTGAGTGCGCCACGGGCTTGGCCCTCTGTGTTGATTTTGTGTCCTCTATGTTGATTTTCTGAACTTGTTTATCAGGTCTAGGAGTTTTTTTGTAGAGTCCTTAGGTTTCTATATAACAGCATGTCGTCTGTAAACAGGGACCACCTGACTTCCTCTTTCCAATTTGGATGCCCTTTATTTCTTTCTCTTGCCTAATTGCTCTGGCTAGGACTTCCAGTACTATGCTGAACAGAAGTGGGGAGAGTGGGCATCCTTGTTTTGTTCCAGTTTGTGATGTTAGCTGTGGGTTTGTCTTATATAGCCTTAAAAATTAAGATGTATTAAGATTAAGGTTTTTTTCTCTACCTAACATGTTGAGAGTCTTTATCTTGAAGAGATGTTGAATTTTATCAAATGATTTTTCTGCATCTATTAAGATGGTCATATGGTCTTTTTCTTTCATTCTATTGATGTGTGAGGTATTACATTTATTGATTTGCATGTGTTGAACCATCTCTGCATCACTGGGATAAATCCCACTTAATCATGGTATATGTATTCTTTTTGATGTGCTGTTGGATTCAGTTTGCTAGTATTTTTGCATTTGTGTTCATTAGGGATGTTGGCCTGTATTCTTTTTTGTTGTTGTGTCTTTGTGTGCTTTTGGTATCAGGGTAATGCTGGCAACATAGTATGAGTTTGGAAGAATTCTGTCCACTTCAGTTTTTTGAAATAATTTAAGAAGTATTGGTATTAGATCTTTAAATGTTTGGTAGAATTCAGCAGTAAAGCCATCTGATCCTGGGGGTTTTTTTGTTTGCATTTTTGCTGGGAGACTTTTTATTACTGATTTTGTCTTGTTAATTTGTTATTGGTCTATTTAGATTTTCTATTTCTTCTTGGTTCAGCCTTGGTAGGGCATATGTGCCAGGAATTTATCCATTCCCTCTAGGTTTTCATATTTATTTATTTATTTATTTATTTTTACTTTAGAAGTGATTTTATTTTGTGTGCAAATAATAGACAGATGTTCTACCTATAAATTCTATTTTCCAAAAACAATACGAGCTTTTTTAAAGAAAACCACAGAACAAATTTTAAAAGACCTCAGGATTCCTCTGGTTTTAGATCATTTCTAGACTATAAAAATAAAGTTTGTTCTACCAGGAATCACAAGTTAGAATTGAGTATACTCCAAAGAGGAAATTACATAGTGCCACTGCAGGCACAGATTATTCAACTCTCATCCTCAAAATCCACCCAGAGTTAACAGAACAGTTAAACTAAGTCAAAACAGTCCAGCATAATTAGCCTTCATTATACAAGGCCATTATACTCTTCTAAGATGCAAATAAGCCAAAACAAGAAATACTGAAATCAAAATAAAAGGTGTTATTTGAGGCTGACATACAAATTGTTAGTTCTTTGTTGTATTCCCCCTTCTAGATAACATTAATAAAAGGAATATTTTACTCAAAAAAAAATTTATTTTATATATCACTAGCCATGAATTTTTGTCATTAGTTATGATATAAATGCTGCCTGGTGCCATTATCCAAATGGCCTGACCATTTTATATCCACAATTCACTTCTGTATTTACAAACAGAATTCTCATGATTTACATGAACACATCTATCGTGAAGATGTAACACTGAGATGCAATCTAATATCCATAATATCTGATATGTTGCAGGAAGCAATGCAAGAGAGACGTATATTTAATTGCCTTTCATTTCAGTGACATTATGTAACAAATAAATCAATAATTTAAAAGTTCTGTCTCCAAAGGAGATATTCAAATGTACAACGAGAAATGGTTATAGTGAGATTTTTAAGAAACATCTTCCATGTCCACATCTTCTTGTAATTGCTGTACCATTTTTTCTTCCAGCTGCTTTCCTTTGCCTGCAACAGGGGCCCGGATAAGATGAATGTTTTGCTTGACTTCTTTGATGTCCTGAACCTTCTGTAGCTCTTTATCTTTCTTCAATCTGTTCATTATAAATTTAGCTTGGCGTCTCTGTTTGATCTCTTCAACTCGCTTCATTGCAACAATAGTTTTACTCCATAGCTCTCGCTGGTATTTGACAGGTTCATTTCTACATTTTTCAAATTCAAATGAATTATCCACTGTAAGCTCTTTACCAGCTGCTTTCCGGAATGCTTTAGTCCACCTGACCTTGCGAGGATTGCGCTTCTTTTTAAAGTTTCTATGACATTTGGATTTACAGAATCTAAATACCTTGCAATCGTTGCGGACGAACATCATGCCGTGGCCCGGATAGATGGGCCCCAAACAGAAGTAACACTTTTCGATACGCATGTTGAACCCGCGTGGGTCCCCACCGCCGAACCTGAGGGGAAGTGATGAGGTTTTCATATTTATTGGCATATAGTTGTTCATAATAGTCTCTGATGATTCTTTGTATTTTAGTGGTATCTGCTGTAATGTCTCCATTTGCATTTCTGATTTTGTTTATTTGGGTATTTTCTCTTTTCTTTGTGGTTAGTCTGGCTAGTGGTTTGTCAATTTTGCTTATCTTTTCAAAGAACCAGCTTTTCACTTGATTGATGTTTTTTGTATTGTATTTTTAGTCTCAATTTCATTTTTTACTGCTCTGACTTTTATTATTTCTTCTCTTGTACTTGTTTGGATTTAATTTGTTCTTGCTTTTCTAGTTTCTTGAAGTGCATTGCTAGGCTGTTTATCTGAAATCTTTCTATTTTTTTGATGTAGGCATTTATTGCTATAAACTTTCCTCTTAATACTGCCTTGGCTGTATTCTATAGGTTTTGGTATGTTGTGTTTCTGTCTTCATTAGTCTCATGAACTTTTTTGATTTCCTTTTTAATCTCTTTTTTGACCCTTTGGTCGTTCAAGGGCGTGTTGTTTAATTTCCATGTATTTGTGTAATTCTGCAAGTTCCTCTTGGTATTGATTTCTAGTTTTATTCCATTATGGCCAGAAAAAAATACTTGCTGTGATTTTGATTGTTTTGAACCCGTTTAGACTTATTTTGTGACCTAACATATGGTCATTCCCAGAGAATGTTCCATATGCTGATGAAAATAATGTGTATTCTGCAGCTGTTGGATGAAATGCTCTATATATGTCTGTTAGGTTCATCTGGTCTATGGTACCATTTAAATCCGACGTTACAGGCTGGCTGATTAGCTCAGTTGATTAGAACACAGCCTTATAACACCAAGATCATGGGTTCAGATCCTCATACTGGCCAGCCACAAAAACCCCCAAAATAAGTAAATAAATCCGATGTTTTCTTGCTGATTTTCTGTCTCAATGATCTGTCCAATGCTGAGAGTGAGGTTTTAAAATCCCCCACTACTATTGTGTTGGTGTCTATCTCTCCCTTTAGATCTGATAATATTTACTTTATATATATGGGTGTTCTGATGTTGGGTGCATATATATTTACAGTTGTTATATTCTCTTGCTATATTGATCCCTTTATTATTATATAGTGCCCTTCTCTGTCTCTTAGTACAGATTTTGATTTAATGTCTGTTTTATCTGACATAAGTATAGCTGTTCCTGCTCACTTTTGTTTTCCATTTGCATGGAATATCTTTTTCCAGCCCTTCACTTTCAGTCTATGTGTGTCTTTGTAGGTGAGGTGTGTTTCTTATTTATCCATTCAGCCAGTTTATGTCTTTTAATTGGAGCTTTTAATTCACTTACATTCAAGGTTATTATTGATATGTCAGGTCTTACTCCTGTCATGTTATTGGTTCTTTTCTGATTATTTTGTATATCTTTTGTCCTTTTTTCCTCTCAATATTTATCCTTGAGCTTTGGTGGTTTTCTGTATTGATAAGGTTTGATTCCCTTCTCTTTCTAATTTGTGTATCTACTCTCCTAGTAAGTTTTATGTTTTCAGGTATTTTCATGCTGATTGTTATTGTTCTTTCTCTTCTAGATGTAGGACTCCCCTAAGCATTTCTGTTAAGGCCAGTCTGGTGGTGATTAATTCCCTTAATTTTTGCTTGTCTGCGAAAGACCTTACTTTTCCTTACCTTTTGAAGGGTAGCTTTGCTGGGTATAGTATTCGTGGCTGGCAGCTTTTTTTTTTTTCCTTTTCTCTTCAGTACTTTGAATATGTCATCCCATTCTCTCCCAGCCTATAGGGTTTCTGCTGAGTAGTCTGCTGTTACTGTAATGGGAATTTCCTTATAAGTGACTTGACGTTTTTCTCTTGCTGGTTTTAGAATTCTCTGTTTGTTCTGAACTTTGGATAGTTTGACTACAATGTGTCTTAGAGATGACCTATTTGGGTTGAATCTATTTGGGGACATTTGAGCTTCCTGGAGTTAGGTATTTGTATCTTTCCCAAATCTATGGAAATTTTCAGCTATTATTTCTTTAAATAGGTTTTCAGTATCTTTTTTGCTTTCTTTTTCTGGAATGCCCATAATCCTCTTATTTGCTCACATATCTGATAGATCTTGTAAGTTTGGCTCATTCTCTTTTCTTTTTTCTTTCTTTCTTTCTTTCTTTTTTTTTTTTTTTGTCATCCTGTTATTTCAAACCTCTGTCCTCAAGATCAGAAATTCTTTCTTCTGCTTGATCTAGTTTGTCGTTGAGACTCTCAGATATATTTTTATTTTGTTCAATGAATTCTTCAATTCCAAGATTTCTGCTTGATTTTTTAAAATCATATCTATCTCTTTGTCTAATTTCTCATTCAGATCATGAATTGTTTTTCTGATTTCATTGAACTCTTTGTATTGTCTTGTATCTCAGTGAGTTTCCCTAAGACAATTAATTTTAATTTCTTTTCCAGCAAGTCAGCAATTTCTAATTCTTTGGGACCAGTTACTGGAGCATTATTTTGGGTTTTTTGGATGTTGTCATGTTGCCTTATTTTTTCATGTTTCTTGTTTCCCTGCATTGACATCTGCATCTGGTGGAATAGTCACCTTTTTCAGTTTTGTAGAGTGGCTTGCATGGGAGAAGATTTTCACCTGCAAATGTGTCCTGGGCCATTGATTGGGTAGAGTACAGTGGTTTCATTCCAGATGGATGCAGTAGTGTAGATTCTGTGTAGTTTCTTCAGCTGTAATCTACTTTTGCTATGTCTGTGAGTGACTTAGTAACCTATACTTTAGAGGTTTGTGGTGGCAGTGGCACAGCTTTTCCAGAAGAGGTATCACAGGATGGGTTGATTCACAGTATGGAGGTGTGCACATGCACCCTTTGGGTCAGTTGTCTCAGGAGCTGGCTCAGTAGGGATGCAGTTGCTTGATTGATTCTCAGGCTGGGGGTGTGGGTGTATGGTATATAATGGTCTCTGAGACTGTATTGCCAGTGGAAGGGTCACCATGCTGCTTCTCTGTCCAGGAGTGGGTCTGCCAGGGTCATATTAGCTGAGGTGTTTCTCACTCAGATGCATGTACATGTGGTGGCTCAAAGATTTGGGGGTGGGTCTTCTAGGGACATGACAGCTGAGCTGTTTCTCTGAACCAGGGGCATGGATGCACTTTGGCTTGGCTAGCAGAGTGCAGGTCTGCCAGTGGCTCTTCTGCTGTGCCAGTTCTTGGGGCCTAATGTGAGGTCATGCTTCCTTCTGTGGTTCAAGATCTGGGCTGCCAAGGGTGGAGCTTCTGAGCCACTTCTTAGAAAGTGGGAGAGGCCACTGGTGGGGATGCAGTGGGAGGATCTGTCCAGCTGCTTCTTGGACTGTTGGCAAGGCTACCAGGCATACCTTCAGCTAGGGAGTCCAACCGGCTGCTTTCTAGTAGGTGGGCGAGGCTGCTAGGCAGGTCTGCAGTGAGGGGGGCCTGTCCAGCCATCTCTCAGACTGTAGGTAAGGCTACTAAGCAGGCCTACAGCAAGGGGCCTGTCCAACTGCTCCTTGGACTGTTGGTAAGGCCACTAGGCAGGACTGTACATGAGAGAACTGCCTGGCCACTACTATGAGAGGGCAAATGTGCTTTATTTCCACCGGCTCAAGGGTGTTTTCTTTAGGGTGGAGATGCATGAGCTGTTTTCCCAGGTTAGGGGCTTAGGTACACCCAACTGAGTCACAGCTGCTGTTAGCCTAGGCTTCAAACTGCCAGGATCAGGGCATTGTAGCCTCTGAGTGCTCTAGGAAGGGGGTAAAGCCTAAAAGCTGGGGATGCACCCCTGGGTGCAGCTTGCTCCTTTAATGCCTCTGGTTTCAAGATGTTGCTGTCCTGAATCAGCATGGATCACAAGGGTGGGAGGGGGCGAGTATAGTTTGTGTTAGTATTCTAAAGCAATGCAGTGCATGTACTGTAGGATGCTCACCACACTTTCCTCTGGGCTTGTCCTGATGCAGTATCTATGGGCCCCTGTGGTGAGTTTAGAAGTTGGTGTGGGTCCCCTGCCTACCTTTTCACCTCAAGGAAAAATTCTTCCTGTGCCAATCCTGGTGTCAGATACATGGTGGCTGAAATTATGTGCCTCTCTCTCCCTCTCTCTGCCACCATCCTGGGCTTTTGTGCTCCACAGGGATCTCACCAGTCTCCTGCTGTACTTCTATGCTCTCCCACCATGTTTCCATCAATATTTAGCTATCTGTTAGTTGTTCTGGTTCTTTTCTGTGGGAGGAATGCATCCTGGGCACCTCTAGTTCACCATCTTGCCCCACCTCTCTACTTTATTTTAATCAGTTATATCCTAATTTTCAACAGACTATGAAAGAAAACCCATACAGTCGTTTCAATACTTGCAGCAAAGCATTTGACAAAATTCAACACTTTGTGATAAAAGTGCTTATCAAACTGGGAATAGAAGGGACTTTCCCCAGCCTGACTAAAGGCATTTATAAAAAAACCTACAGCTAACATCATACTTAGTGGAGAAAGACTGATTGTTTTCCCTGTAAGATGGAGAATAAAACAAGGATGTCTTGCTCTTACCACTTCTACTCAATATTGTATAAGAGATCCTAGTCAATGAAATAAGGCAAAGAAAAGGAAGGAAGTTAGGGATGGAGAGAAGAAAGGAAAGGAGAAATGTAAGGAAAGAAGGAAGGAAGAAAGGGCATATAGATTGAACTTATTTGCAGATAACATGATCCTCTATGTAAAAGATCCCAGGACTACTACAAAAAAGCTACTAGAACTAATAAATGACTTTAGCAAGGTCACAGGATACAAAGTCAAAATGCAAAAATCTGTTGCATTTCTATATACTAGCAAAATTCCATCAGAAATTCCCTATAAGAATGTTTTATATTATATGTACTTATCAGTTCTTATATTTATCATCAGAAATAATTAATGAAATTTTTTCTTTTTATTCTTCCAGGGGAACCTATGACATTTTAGTAACAAAAGATAATCAGACCCGCTCTGTTGGTCAGTATGACAACCGTGGCAGTTTTGGAGAACTGGCTCTGATGTACAACACCCCAAGAGCTGCTACCATTGTCGCCACCTCAGAAGGCTCCCTTTGGGGACTGGTGAGTGAGAGAAATGGTTCCCTTTGCATGGCACCATATTAATTTCCATTTCTTCAGAGTCTCTGTCCTTGGGCTATTGGTTCACACCATATTTTATAGCCAGTTCTGTGAAAGACATTGTGGAAGGTCTTGTGCAAATATATTTTTCCATTTCTCTAAAATGATTTGTCAACAAACCATTAATTCCAAGTTAAAGAAACAAGACTAGGTCTTATGACCTTATAGTTGTATACAGCTTTTATTACATTTTCTGTTTGTTTTTATCAGACAGGTGGGAAGAGAGAGGATAACTCTCCATAGAAGAAGCAGCCTAGAAAAAATGTCACTGAAAGCTCTGTCAATAGTGTTTTCCATTTCTAGATGTGTCAGGACCAACTTTTCCCTATGTTCAGCCATTTACTTGTCCATAATATCCAGTTGACTTAGATCACTAGCAAGGCTGACGGCCATATTGCAGGAAAGAGAACCTTCCCAGAATGTCTCAGGCACGATACTCCTGTGATCATGTCTTCTATTATATGTGACCCACCTTGTTTCCTTCAGTATCAAATTATATATTATTCAAAATGTATAACTCTCTTCTTTCTTAAAGAAAATAATTATCCTCTTGTACAAATTCCAAATTTCACTTTTAAAATGTTGACATCTATAGTAGTTTATTTCCATTTATCTTATAAGCAGAATTAAATGTATACCATAGAATTATCAACGTATTTTCTCAAATGAAATAAAAAAGGAATGAAAGAGAGCTTTTAATGTGTCATACTGATGTGAAATTAAGAGTGCTCCTGAAAGATGAGAGATATAATGGCTTAAGAATAGATCACCCAAGGGGCCAGCCAGTTAGCTGAGTTGGTTAGAGCACAGTGTTTTAACACCTGGGTTAGGAGTTTGGATCCCAGTACCGGCCAGCTGCCAAATAAAAAAACAAGACAGATCACCCAGTTGGGGACCCAATGATTGAAAAACTCAAGAATAGATAAATATGGGGAAATAGTAAATAATACAGGAAAATAAACTCAGTTTTAAAATGCACTGGTGCCAACTACCAGTTTAGGCTAAGATGGAATAGCCCCATTCCTTGCTAGTCTTCCCTATTAAAACTAAAAAAACTCTGTACATAATACAGTATACAAACATAGGAAGACCCTGAAAGGTGGCACACTGGCTAGGGACCATGAAACTTGAGGAAGGACATAACAGTGAGTTCCCTGGGTTTCCTTATTGCTTCCCATATATTTCAGATGGGATGCCGTAAAGGCCTGCAACCCAGATCTGCCAACAGGTACATTCAGAAAAAGCCTCAAGCAAAAGCTGCTCCCTGTAGCCAAAGGACCAGGAAAAGAGTGGCTTAGCAGAACAGAAAACCTTTGTTGATAATACCAGCCCTACCTCAGCCAAATACCAAAAGGAAAACTGCTTTTGCCTCCACCCCACAGTGTCACTGGACTGAGCAGGAAGCTGGACTTCCAGCCCTATTTGGCAGTAAAGAGGCAAAATGAGGTGGAGCATGGTGTTGCTAGTTGGCACTCTACTTTCCCTGCCAGAGTAGTGTCAGTGGGGCCTGGAGGGGAACTGAACATGCACTCTCACTTGTACATTCATGGTGTACCTAAACAGGGTGAAAGCTTGCCATAAAAAAAAAAAAAACTTTACAACATCATATCCAAAATGTCCGGGGTACCATCAAATCACTTGTCATGCCAAGAGCAAGGAAATTTTCAACTTGAATGAGAAAAGATCATCAACAGATGCCAGTACCAAGATGACACAGGTGTTGGAATTAGCTGACAAGGATTTTAAGGCAGCCATCATAAAAATGCTTCAACAAGCAATTATGAATACATTTGAAACAAATTTTAAGAAAGAAAGTCTCTGCAGAGAAATGGAAGATAGAAGAGCCAAATGAAAATTTTTGAACTGGAAAAGATGGTAACCAAAATAAAAACTCATTGGATGGGCTCAATAAGAGAATGAATATGACAGAGGAAAGAATCAGTGAACTTGAGGATAGTCCAATGGAAATTATCCAATCTGAACAACAGAGAGAATATAAACTGAAATGAAGTGAACAGAGTTTGTGGGACAATAACAAAAGATCTAGCATTTCTATCATCAGAGTTGCAGAAGGAGAGGAGAAGTGTGGAGCTAAAAAATTATTTGAAGAAATCATGATTAAAAATTTCCCAAATTTGATGAAAGATAGAAATCTACAGGTTCAAAAAGCCAAGCAAACCGCAAACAGGATAAACTCAAAGGAATCCATGCCAAAACACATCCTAATCAAACTTCAGGAAACTAAAGACAGAAAAAAATCTTGAAAGCAGTTAGAGAGAAACAGTGCCCCTATAGGGGAACACCAATTTGAATGATAGGGGATTTCCCAACCACAGAGGCCAAAAGTGGCATAGCATTTTTCAAGTGCTGAAAGACAAGAATTGTCAACCAGAATTCCATACCTAATGAGAATATTCTTCAGGAATGAAGATGTCTCAGATGGAAGAAAACTAAGAGTCTTTGTCCCCAGCAAACCACCCTAAAAGAATGGCTAAAGGAAGTTCTTCAAGCAGAAAAAGAAATGATTAAAAGGAGGAAGGCTTGCCAAGACCTGCGGGAATGCAGCAGCCTGGTTCCTGCAAGGCCATGTCAAGCCAGGTCAAGCCCTTGCTTGCACCCTTGCGCAGCCTCAACCACTGCCTCCAGAAGTGACATTTTTATTCAGGCAATGCTTAAGGAGAGCCTGGTTGCACTTGGTGCATTGTGGAAGCAGCCTGGGCCGGTTTTCAGGAGGAAGTCACTGGCGCAAAGCCATCTGGTGGATCCCTAAAGAAACCAACCAACCAGGAGAAGGAAGGGGAGGGGCTTGAGCAGTGAGAACTGTGGGCCCAAGAACCATGTCTACACAGGAATCCTTTAACCTAGAAAGTTATGAATTGCGCAAGAGCTTCTGGCTAACCAGATTCACTAAACTGAAGGACACAGACTGAAAAGTGCCCCAAGATGTACTACAGAAATTGCTGGAATCCTTAAAATAGAACCACTTACAAGAAGATGAGCAGTTTCTTGGAGCGATTATGCCAAGACTTGGCATTGGAATGAATACCAGTGTCATTCCTTTGAGGTATGGTGGTCTTTCCTTTTTTCAAACTGCTAATTACATTTATCCTATCTTAGACAACCCTTACATGGGCAGGATAGCATGTTCCAATATCCTCCATGACCCCTACACAAGGGGCATCACAGAATGTGACAACACTCTTATGCTCCTTGGAGTAAGTAATAAAGTGACTGACAGAGAAAGCGATAAAGTGATGCCCTTAATTATACACAGTTTTAAAGATGTAGCAGAGGAAGCTGGAATATCTGTAACAGGTGGTCAAACAGTATTAGACCCCTGGATTGTTTTGGGAGGAGTCGGTACAACTGTCTGCCAACCCAGTGAATTTATTATGCCAAATAATGCAGTGCTGGGGGACATGTTCGTGTTGACAGAACTGCTAGGGACACAAGTCAGTGTCGCTGTGTACCAGTGGCTGGATATTCCTGGAAATAAAATTAAACTTGTGGTCACCCAAGAAGATGTAGGGTTGGCTACCAAGAAGCAATGATGAGTATGGCAAGGCTCAACAGAACAAATGCAAGATTCATGCTTACGTTTAATGCCCACATGGCCACTGACAGCACAGGCTTCAGAATTCTGGGCCATGCCATGCGCACGCAGTACAAGTGGCTGCTCAAAATGTGAATCCCACACCTGGTGCCACCTCATAGTCTAGACAGAAATAGCTATTTGGTTTTGTTTTTAAATAGCTCTATTTCCGGGCCGAGCCAGTGGCGCACTCGGAGGGTGCGGTGCTGAGAGCGCGGTAGCGCTCCCGCCGCGGGTTCGGATCCTATATAGGGATGACTGGTGCGCTCACAGCACTCACTGGCTGAGCGTGGTGCGGCCGGTCTCAAAAAGGACAAAATAAATAAATAAATAGCTCTATTTCCTTTATCATCATTTCAATTAAAGACTATACACAACAACAGAAATCTCTTGTGTCTACACATCTAGTGACCTTAGGTCGATTTGTGAGTGGATACAGTTAATAAAATAAAATCCATTGCCTTTTTTTCCTGTTACATTAACTGAAGATGCACCTAATCTTGACGCAGTTTCTGAGTTGAGAATTATATTGTTATCCAATACTGTTGATTCATTTTGAATCTTTAGATATTTATCTCTTGCCACGTGGGCTCTTTTTTTTCTTTTCTTTTTTTTTTTTGGTGGCTAGCCTGTACAGGGATCCAAACCTGTGACCTTGGTGTTGTAAGGCTGTGCTGTAACCAACTGAGCTAACTCACCAGCCTGCATTGGCTCTTTTTTCACACCGGTCATCCCTATATAGGATCCGAACCCGCGGCGGGAGCACTGCTGCGCTCCCAACGCCGCACTCTCCCAAGTGCGCCACGGACTCGGCCCCTGCATTGGCTCTTTTTAAAGGTGCATTCACATAGAACAGACATTACCAATAGTAGTGTCAAATAGCAGTTTGTCTTTTCATTTTACGTATATTTGTCATATGTCTGATCTTTTTAAATGTCTTGAATAGTATCTAGAAAGAACTGAAAAGTGATACAATGGTATCCCAGTAGTAAGAGGGTTGAATGATTCCTTTAGGTCTTTGATTTGTAAAGGATAGTCTTATAATTTAATTTAAGAGCATCTCTTTAACCCAGGACATTCTCCAAGAGTACGTTCAGTTCAAGGCAAGTGCTTCACTCTTCATGGAAAGTACTTTGTAACTTTTCTGATATTTACGGTAATACGTTAACTGTTTTCTTTATTGATAGCAAAAATAAAAAGGGTACTTTTTGCAGTGTAATTAAATGTTCTATAGTATAACAAGGAAATTGCCTTCCTAAAGGGGATTTGTGTATAATACTCACAATTCAATATATAATTAACTAAGCAAATAATTTTATTTATTTATTTATTATTATTATTTTTTTGACCA